TGTTGGCCAGAGTGGCCACCAGGGAAACCTGGGAAGCCTTAGCCTCCCACTAGTTCGAATTAAGGGTCTACACAGCCCTTAATTCGAACTAGCTAGTTCGAACTAGGCTTAATCCTCGTAAAATGAGGATTACCTAGTTCGAACTAAGCGCTCCGTTAGTTCGAATTAAATTCGAACTAACGGAGCGCTAGTGTAACGCCTATGAAAGTTAGTTCGAACTAACATCCGTTAGTTCGAACTAACTTTGTAGTGTAGACATACCCTGAGGGTGGCTTAATTACACTGGCAAGACATCTCTCTCTTGCCAGCAAAAAGGGGCTTTCCTGGCAAACTTACAGCAGCACAGTCTTAAACTCCTGTAATTTTTACTGCAACCTTATTCCAGAAAATGTGGTTTAAATGAGAGAAGTATATTTTCTTTATCTTTCCACAATTATGGATGCCCAGTAGAAAATGCCAGAGCTTGATTTTCAGAGGCACTGAGAACTAAGATTGCTAGCTTTCTAATTGAACGCCCTTGTCCCACCCTGCCTGAGGGGCCCTCCCTTCCCTGAGGCCCTGTCCACACTCAATCCATCCCACCTTCCTCTGTTGCTCACTCTCTCTACCCTGCTTACTCACTCTTTTTCAGCAAGTTGAAATGCAGTGTGGGAGGGGGTCAGGGGTCTAAATGGGGGTACAGGCTTTGGAGTAGGGCTGGGAATGAGGTTTGGGGTGCAGGAGGAAGCTCTGGGCTGAGGCAGGAAGTTGGAATAGGGTGTATGGGCTCTGGCCATGGGGTGCAGGCTCTAGAGTGGGGCCAGAAATGAGGGGTGCAGGAGAGGGTTGCAGGCTAATGCAAGAGTTTGGAGTGCAAGGGGTATTAGAACCCCAGCTGGGGGTGGAGGAGGGAGTTCTGGTGTGGGAGGGGCCAAGGGGTTCAGCATGGGAGAGGGGGCTTCAAGCCCTACATGCTGCCCGTCTCCTTGCAGCTCCCAATTACCACTCTTCCCAACAATTGATGCTGTGGATCCAGCTCTCAGGGTGAAAGCAGCTGCAGCGTCTCCACGGCCACCCCTGCGTGAAAGGGGCATTTAAGCCATTTTTCAGGAGCCCCACGGAGCCTGCAAGCCTGGCTGTGCCTCCAACTGAACTTTTAACAGCCCAGTCAACATTGCTGACCAGAGCCACTAGGGTTCCTTTTCAACTAGGTGTTTTGGTCAAAAAACGGACACCTGGCAACCCTACTGAGCCTCCATAAGTCCAATTGAAGTTGATGTGACATCTCTATGTTCAGTGTCTCTTAAAATCAGGCCCAAAGTTTCTCAGGCTGAACACTAAAATAAAGGTACCCAAAATCGATGGAAAATTTAAAAATACTAACTGCAGTGACTTGCGCAGACCAAGGTTACAAGCCATGTAGTCCTGTGCCCTAACCACTAGGCATTACTCCTTCCTGCTTAATGTGAAAGTGGAAAACAAAAATATTTTGAATGAAGAATAACAGTGGTACACAAATGCTTCAGCCCCTCTTCAAATACGTATTGAAAAAGGATCAGAAATGTTTATCTATCAAACCCTTCCACACAAGAGATCAACAGAACTGTGCGGGCATGGCAGGGATTACTTTTCGATGTGTCCGTTCAGTGCTAATAAAAGGAACATGCCTCAAAATTGTTAGTGCTGATTAGCAAACCCCTGAGATATAAAAGAAGACCAGAATGTGGCTTTTCTGCAATTCCATGCACCCTGCTAGTTTTAGTACTCACTGCAGTGTCTGCCTGCAGTTATGTTAGTTTCATCTTCTCCAGCAGGGCAGTCCACAGTGCCATCACACACTTTACCAATTGGAATGCAGCGTCCTGACACAGGGCAGGCCCATTCTCCTGGGTAACACTCATGGTGGCCACTTTCTAAGCAAAAGAGAAGCAACACAGAATAACTGATGAACATGCATCAAGTAATACACTTGAAGCTACTTCCCTAAAAGCCTCCTAGTGAATAAGCATCTTCAGCTATCTATCATTCAGCTTCTAACTGTTGCATGTAGCTAAGACAGCCCATAAAAGAAAGAGTAATCTATCCTAGTCACCATGTTCTTTCATTTGTCCTCAAATTACATTGCGGAAAATACTCATGCAGTGCGGTGAACCCTTTCCATTTTTCCACATTATATTTCACTTTGGCTTGACTGGTGTACTAAAAATGGAACAATAGTTTTGTTCTTTTGAAATATGCCTGGTAAAGCTGGTAGAGGGAGGAAGGATAATTACAGAAAATTTCAGAAAAAAAAAGTTTAAATTTTACTAAAGAAAAATTCATTTTTTCACAAACATAAAATAAAGAGAATTGTACTGCACACAATACAGTACATCATTCCTTTCCACACTAGCAATACAAAATAAGAAAACTCCAAATATTTTTTTAAATATACAATATTAGAAGAACTGTGTCTATACAAACACAGTTTTCCAAGAGTGTCCATAGATCTTTCAAAATTATGATATAAAACATTCTGATTTTAAGACTTTTTAGTAGTGAGATTAGCAAGGTTTATCTTTGTAAACTGCATCATTAAAATAAGTATGCTTCAGTCTTTACCACATCCTCTTTCATCTTCATTATCTTCGCAGTCATCATCTCCATCACAAACCCAGCTCTGATGAATACAACGGCCACTTGGACAGGTGAAGAAATTGCCTCTGCAAGTCGTGTAAGCTGATTGAAGAAACAAGAAAAACCTGAACTGATTCCAAGTGAAAAACATCAACTACTCTCAGGCTCTCTACACACTACATTGATGTATTGGAAAAAGGTATGCAATTTGCATACCTTTTTCCGATAGTTTTTTCGGAAGAGGTGGTATCCTATACAGACTAACATACACTGGACCACATTTTGGAAAGGCCTCCTCTTTTGGAAGAGCCCTTCTTCATTGTGGGAGGAGAAAGACAGGGCTTGCGAAGCGTGTGTCTGCTCTTCCGCAAAAAAAAGTGGAAAAGCAGACGCGTTCCCTGGACGTGGCAGAGTTTACCCATAGTGTAGACATAGCCTCAGTTACAAGTGTTAGGAATAGTCAGCAAATAAATAGGGAGATCAATCATTTAGAATCATTCCTAAAGTTTTTGCTCAAGTTTTTGCACAGCTGGTAAATTTAGTACTTTTGCCATTGTGTTTATGTAGGAATTTTCTGAACAATTATTTTTAAGGTAATATGCTCCTTGAAGAAATTGAAAAGCAACAATATAAAGGCTAGAGCTGCCGCAGCGATTCACTCAACTGGCTGGACTGCACCTCATTCCCAAAGCTCTTGATCATTGGTCACAGTGCAGTAGTGACATTCATAAACACAAAATAAAGAGAATTGTGCTACACACAATAGAGTGCATCATTCCTTTCCATCCTATCAGGGCATAAAATCATTAGTATCATAGGGGCAGATGAAAAATGCTGTTGAAGGGGAGGCATGTTGGGAATAAATGGTTCTTGGTGCTGGGAATATATTAAATAGGAAAATGGAGCCTTTCATGAACCTAAAGCTGAGGTCTTTATTGCTCTTCTACAACCTTAGCCTCAGAATCCATGGGGTCATTTCTAGAGCCCACAAGAAAACCAGGTGGCAGTTTTGTAGGTTTGGTGCACAAAGGAGACATATTATCCAGCCCACAAAAGAAAAGAATAAGAGACTTCCAACAACAGAACCTTCAATCAAAATTTTAACCTAAATATGTAATAATTACCTTAAATGTCACTGGGAATAATTCTAAAAAGGCCAATCAATACGTGATACAAATGCAAAAATGTCCAAACAAATTTTTAAAACACCCACCGGCATGCTCTGAACAGCCGGGACAAAAGCAAGAAGAGTTGCGCCTTTGGCTCATGTTCAGACACAGAAAATCAAAGCATGAGAACATATATCAGGAAGCAAATTCCCACCAACTCAGTACATCTAGTACATCACACACACCTATCTCATGGCAAATTCTTTTTGAAACATCGTTAACTTCCATCATTTCAGCAAAAAAATTAAAAGAACTCTTCGGATTCTGCCTGCTCCACAACAGAGCATTGCTCCTGTTTTGTGCTAACTGCTGCATTTCAAAGAAAACTAGCTCTTAATAAAACAGGCAAAAAAAGCAAAATAAAACCACCATACTGCAAGAATTTTCATCGCTCCTGTCTCCACAGTCGTCATCATGGTCACAGATAAAGGCACGGGGTATACATTCTCCATTAGCACATTGAAACTGGGTACTGACACATCCATGAGCTGAACAATATCATTTGAATGGAAAAAAGAGAAAATATTCAAATGTAATAAACAAACTCAAGTATATTCTTACAAAGAAGATATACAGTACTACAATTGTGTGGGGTTATGCTCAATGTGGTACTTACTGCAGTTAGCTTCATCAGAGGCATCTCTGCAATCTACTTTACCATCACAACGCTGGCTTGCATTAAAACATGCTCCATTTGTACAAGATAATTGTTCACATGTTGGATAACCTACAAAAAAACCCACTTCAGCCATAAGTATTAGAATATACAATATCTCTTTATGAATATATTGTTATGTATGTAGTCTGACACTTTACAGCAAGCATGGTGCTTTAGAGATAAAAGGGAATATAGAAATTGCCATACTGGAACTAGTGACCCATCTAGTTCAGTATCCTGTCTCCAGCTGAGGTCAGTACCAGATACTTCAAAAAACCATACAAAAAATGTTTCAAGAAACTAGGCAATTATGAAACAGCCTGCCCCCCTCCCAGGGCCATGTTCTTTCTCCAAGGAATTTACAGTTTTCCATGGTAATATGGAAAATGACACAATACCAAACAAAGCAACTATTTTATTTATTTTTATCTTAGTTTTGGACTTTATTGGTCTTAGTAAACTTGTTTATCTAAAAATAGAGATTTCAGCTCTCAGGTTTAGAACCTCTTATACACTCTGAAATTCAGAGTCTTGGGATTTTTATATGGAAGAAATATTTTGCCAGTAAATGAACTCAAGAATAATCACATTTCATTAATTTTGCACTCTGAAATTTTTCACACTGAATTTCTCTTTCATTTCATTTCCTTATTATTATTTATTATAATAAAATAATAATAAAATAATAATAATAATAATAATAATAAAAATATAATTATTAATAATAATAATAAACAGGACAAAATTTTCACTCTCTCTCTCTCTTACTCTCAACCATGTTTTCACACAAGCAAACTGAAATTTAAAGCATGGATTATTAATTAAAAACAGAACTCACAAAAGACACAATAAATTTCACAGACAAAATACCTGTGCTTAAACACAGTGACAAAATTAGTTTTTCCATTACTGTACATTAACGCTTTTCTCCTTAAACTTGAAACACTCATCTTGGACTCATCTGGATAGACTTAAAAAACAAAAACTGGTCTGGTATCCTATACAGACTAACTCGGCTATCCCCTGGAGCTTCATCTGGATAGGTTTTACAGCTGCCTCTATTTACAAAAGTTCTAAGTTTGAGAATATAAATAGGTGTATCAAATGTCAAACACACTAGACCAAATTCAGATTGCATCTCTGCAATGTGGTAAGAACCCTAAACTCTCATTGTAATGAATGTGCTTCACAATCCCTCAGCAACTTGCAGACTGGATCACTGTATACATAAATGAAAGAGGAGGCCAGAAGACTAACCTCAGTGCATAGCTGCTGTGTCCTTCTGGTTCCCATGAACCAGTTCAGTGAATGTTCCCAAAAGCTTTCTGATTGAACCCATTGTCAGAATGTTCCAGGTATAGGGTTGCCAGATGGTTTCAACAAAAATACCGGACACAGTTGACATTACATCACAATCTACATTACATCTTATTTAGAACATACCGGACATTTATATTTTTTCATTTATATTTCTCAATTTGTTTCCCAAACAGAAAGCTCAAATACTGGACTGTCCGGTTCAAAAACAGACACCTGGCAACCCTATCCAAGTAGGCATGCCAATAGTCCCTTATTTTTTCAACTCTGTACAGCAAGATTGGGAGTTGCTGAATGCTGCAAAAAGTAGCAAGAAATACCCATGACAAATGTAGGTGAGTTCATCTTATTAATTATTATTATAGTGATAATAATATCAGGAAGTGAGATGGGATAGGCATGCTAAGAAAACAGTCTCTTATTTTTGGAATACCATGTTGGCAACTCTAGTTCCAGGACATAGCCTGATTTTGGAAGGCTTGGTTAACATCTTTTAGTCCAAAATTGATTTTAGCTCAATTTCTGACACAGACTACTTCTGACCCTTATATGGGGGACATGCTTGGGCTTGTGAGGAGTCAGAATACAGTTTCACAAACAGTAAAGCTTCTGCAGTCCTAAGTGTATGGCTGTGTTCCTAGCACCTAACTTTAAGCCAAACTATGCTATTCACTGAGGCTATGTCTATACCCTAGCACTATTTTGGGATACCAGAGGTATAGCTATTCCACGTCTTTTGAGTGTGCCTGTTATTCTGAAATATAACAGGCTCACGATTCCAACATCCCTGCATACCTCATTCGGTGAGGAGTAAGCAACATTTTGGAACAGCTATTTTGAAATAAGTGCTGTGTAGACAGCACCAAATTTCAAATTTCAAAATTAACTTGAAATAAGTTACACAATTTGCATAGCTTATTTTGAGCTCCGGCTGCAGTGTAGATGCATTCCCAACGACAAAAGTTTCCTCTGTCTCTGGAAACATGTAGGACACCACCTACAGTTCTGTTGTACAGTGGAGGAAACTGTAATGGTTGGGAACACATTATCAGAGTACAGCACAAATTTTCACTCCACCTGAGCTCCATGGATGGCATTATACAACAGGCAGAACCCCATAAGGAGTGCAGGGCATTAGCTATTGTGAGGGTCTACCAGCCCTCTCTCCTTTGGTAGGGGCATGTATGGTTACCTCAGTTTCCTACTACCACCACATTATAGACAAGGAACAATTCTCCAAGCCTTAGTACCCTGTCTTATGCCTAGTTCCAAGATCCATTGTGCGGACAAGACATCGTGATCTTGCCCCAAATAACTGTTTTCATTAATGCATTTCTAATTACTAATCAATATGATTATGGGGGAAACCCCAAGTATTTAAGCTCCACCATGAGACAGAATGTACATGTGTGCATGGCATTCCTTTATCTTTGCCTTTTATTATAACACTGCCTTTTATAGTTACAGTGGAGATGAATGAGTTTTCCATTGTCTTGCAACTCATAAGGTTGGCAAGTCACTGAGATTTAATTTTGTGCCTTCTGTTAACTGTTCCCTTAAATGTTTTCATTACAATAGCAGATTTTTTCCAGCTTGGAAATTAACTTCCCTATAATTGTCAGGGCTGCTCATGATCAAGAATTTTATCGAGATCTCAGAAAGAAGCTGCTGTTTTAGAAAAATTCCCAGAAAACTTGATCTCTTACACAGGATCTAAGTGTAGACTACATTAAACTTATCCTGATCCTGATGTCATTTTGATCTAAGTGTGGACTACATTAAACTTATCCTGATCCTGATGTCATTTACACCATTGTAAACTGGACCAATTTAATTAAAATTAACATGGGGAGGAAATTAGGATGTTTAACATTCAGACAATATATAATTTTGCAAAGTTTGGGAGTATTAATTAGAGACAAAAAACTAAAATATCTAACTGCAGATATTTTTTTCAAATGACAAACCCCCAAATCTGGGCTTTGCCTGGTCTGGAGCTTCAGTTCAGGTGCTGACAGAGAGAATGCCTAACTGGGCATGACACAGAAAACATTTTCCACTCTGTACTCAATAGCTAAAGAACTGAGGAAGCCAAAGTTCTTCTAGGGATAAACAGCCTCAAAGGCTAAATCTGGCTGATCAGGCCTTGCTAAGTATATAAGAATATTCCACCAATCAGATCACTCAGCTGGTGGAACAGGACAATATCTCTATGGGGGGGGGGAGAGAGTTTAGTCTGACCTAGAGAACCACTAATGGATCATTTCTGTCACCAATCAAGTACAAATATTACGTGTGTTTTACTTTAAAACTTCAAACAAAATGTTTTAAAGCATATTGATAACTGCAGTCAACAGTAAACTCTGCAGCCAGCTCCATTTCTACAACTGGAAGGGAGTCAAAACCCACAAATCTAAGGTGGGGGAAGCATTTTAAGGGAGGAGTCATTTTCATCTCACCTCCACAAAAATCCTTCTAAAGATAGTCTATGCTGTTTAGAAACCCATCACCAAACTATTGTAAATTAATGACAACCAGTTCACATTAGATTGCACCATTTTCTGCCACTAGAGAGACTGAAATTTCCCTGGAGAAGAGAAAACCTATGGAAGCATCATATGCTCTCAACTCAGGTCTTGCCCACTCTCCTCATGTTATGTCAATGTAAAGAGTTAAAAAGATGTTATCAGGTGCCATTAGCAGAGGTGTTTGGATGTCATTTAAAATATGTATTTTGCCAAGTTTGCAGGTTTTATTAATAATGTTTTATATTTTATTTTTTAATAAAGTTTGTATAAGTACTAAAATGGGAATAAGTACAATGTAATTATTTTTTCTTAATTGTATTTGTTGTGGAGATTATTTAATTAATTTTTCCCTCTTCTCAGAGCAAAAGCATGTTGTGAAAGGCCAGGTAGAGATAATAAGTTACCACTGGAGGCGCCGATCCTAACTCACACATGGAATTCCATGAATTTCATGGGTTAAAGGGCAAAGTCCCTAATCGCAGTATAGTTTTCCAGCCAATATGAAAATACGCTAGCATATTTTTTCCTACATTATAAAAGGGTCTGTACAACACAGACATGCAATGTATTCTTTTTTCCAAAATTATGAGGGGCAACCAGTCATTAGAGACTAATTCCATCAATAATACCACAACTGTTAGTTACACTGTAGAGCAGTGGTGTGTAATTTGCAGTCTACAGGCCAGTCGCAGCCTGTCAGGGTAAGCCACTGGTGGGCCACAAAACAGTTTATGTTGAGCGTCCGCAGGCAAGGCTCCCTGCAGCTCCCAGTGACAGCAGTTCCTGTCCAATGGGAACTGTGGGAAACAGAAGCCAGCATGTGCCTGTGGCCCACCACTTCCTGCAACTCCCTTTGGCTGGGAACAGTGAACCATGGGCACTGGTAGCTGGGCAGGGAGGGTCTTGCCTGCAGATGCTCAACATAAACAAACTGTCTCCTGGCCCCCCAGCTGCTGACCCTGACATTCCACCATTGCAGAAGACAGTGTCTGATGTACTTCAGGGTGCAGTAGCATTGTCTGCCTCTAACCCACCCCTGAAAGCTGCAGTACTTACAGCTAACACACACCAGTCTTTTGTCTTTGCACTAGGACTTTAAGTAGCAGAGAGAGGGAGGAGGCATGGAACAGGGAATATAAGCATCAAAGGACATATCTACACTGCACACTAAGCTTGGCTCTGTGGGACCAGGGCTTGTGAACTTCTTGCTTCCAAGTGTGTGCT